TGTCCTGCTAAGCAGGACCCAACGTGCCCCAGAGGGAAGCTCAAGGAGGCAGAGGTGGCCGGGCTGTCCTTCCTACTTCAGAAGTAAGAGCTAACTGTTGGTCTGAGAGTGGGCCTCTGCCCTTCACCCTATGCATGGCCTCCTCTATCCCCAAGGGGCATTTTATGGCTGGACAGTATTGGGTTCCCTTCCTTCTCATAGACAACATCAGCTGGGAGGACAAAGTTGATATGTACAGTCCTTACAACAGGATCTGGCTCAAGAGAATTAGTTTTAATTATTCTTGTATTCATCCAACAAACATTTACTGAATACCTATTTATATGCCGGGCACAAATAAATAAATATAAAATGCCACACTTAGTAGACAGGTTCTATAAAGAAAAATAAAGCTGGGTAAGGGAAACATTCATGAGGAGGCAGGATAGGATACTCTGAGAAGGTGGCATTTGAATAGAGAACTTGTGAAGTTAAAAAAATAGCCACGATATCTGCTCAAGGGGGTCCTAGGCAAGGCAGCAGCAGGTGCTAAGGCACCCACCCAAGAGTGTATTTTGCAAGTTTAAGGAACAGCAAGCAGACCAGCATGACTGAGTGTGGGCTCCAGTGGCAAGAAATAAGTCTGGAGAGGGGCAGGACCTTGTAGAATATGGCACAAACCCTGGAATTCACTCCAAGAAGGACTAACAGCCATTCAGATTCCTGAGCAGAGAAATTACATCAAAAAGATCACACAGGGGCTGAGGTTGTAGCTCAGAGATAGAGCACTTGTGTAGCACGTGTGAGGCACTGGGTTTGATCCTCAGCGCTACATACAAAAATAAATAAGGTTATAAAAATATATTTTAAAAAAAGAGTCCAGGGGCTGGGGCTCGGGTTGTGGCTCAGTGGTTGTGCACTTACCCTAGCATAGGTAAGGTACTGGATTCAATCCTCAGCACCATGTAAAAATAAATAAAGGCATTGTGTCCACCTACAACTAAAAACATATTTTAAAAAGTCCAATGTGTGGATGGACCACATTTTATAAAGAAAAAAAAAAAGTGTATTGGATATACACTATTAAGCACTCCTGTCAAGGCTAAGGGTCTGCAAACATTCTATAGACCCAAGTAGCAAATCTCCAGGCTCTGTAGGCCACCAGCTCTGACACAACTATTAAACTGTGCCACAGCAGGGCAAAAGCAGCCATAGAGCAGCCATATACAAATGCACATGGCCATGTTCCAACAGAACCTTCCTTACCAACAGGAGGCAGGGCTATAGTGGGCCAACCCTACTGTGGACCTAACTTCTACTTTATAGGAAATACACCCACCTGTCAAAAGGCAGTAAGGGACACATTCGGCCTTTCTACAACAAGACAGTCAGCCTGGCTTGTCAAGGCTAACAGTTCTTGGAGGGCAGGGGGACAGAGGGCTAAAGTAGATTAAAAGAGGCCAAAGAGACAGCAGGAACCTAAAGGAATCCTTGTTGAAGAAACATTTTTGGAGGTAACTGGGGAAATTCGAGTATGGCACAGATAAGGAGAGGGGAGCAGTAAACACACGTTACAGGTGAGCATCCCTCATTCAAACGCTTTATATCAAATCTTGGAATCTTTTAATTGGATTTGGGGATTTTTGCATAGCCCTTATGAGCATTTCTGACAGGGAAATAAAAAATGTTCCAAAATCTGAAACTTTGAGCATCATGTTGGTAGATAAAGTTTCCAATGATGGAGCATTTTGGATTTCAGATTTCCAGATCAAGAGGCTCAACCTGTATACTCATCTCAGGTGTGAGGATATCATGATCTTGTGAGGGAAAGTCCTTATTCGTGGCAGATGCCTGTCTGCAGTGATAAGGAACAGTGTCATGAAGTACAAACAGAAGCACAAAATAATCAGGAAAATAACAAAAGATTCAGTAAAAAATAGCCCGATGAGGTAAATACAGCAGAAACACCGCACCCAGGCACAGGTACCTGCAGGTTCACACAGTGATACTATTCTTTCAACTTTTCTGCATCTGAAACAAGCTGCCAGCAGGGTGGGGTGCGAGGAGGGTCCCCAGCTTCCTGGGGAAGGCAGGAGAGGCAACCAGGTTCCCAGTAAGGAAGGTGCTGCAGTGTCCAAGCCATGTTCAGCCACTGGCGTGCTTCCTGTCTCCCCTGCCACCCCATCTCTCTCCAGACGCAGGGCAACCAGTGACTTCAGGCCTATGTGGGGCAGAGCAGCAAGGAAAGCACGGCCAGCCATAAGCAGAACAGAGTGGCCTCCCTCTTGCTGGGTTTCTGGCTCACAATGCCCCCAGGGCTAAGGGCAGGAATCTGGGGTTTGGTCTCTCTGGATCCAACCCAGCGATTCTCTCTCCAAAGGCAGCAGAAGTTCCTAAGAAAAGGAAAAATGCTCCATCCAGCTCCCACAGTCTTAGTAATGGGAGTCATACCACACTGAAGGGTGTGTCACCTTGTGAGAATGGAAACTAGATCATCTCTCTTGCCTACTAAACCACTGCTGGCTCCCTGCTGCTCCTTTTCCAGGCTTGCAAGTTGTGTGCCAGGTACTGCTGAATCAAGGGCTTCCTGTTTATCATCCCCTGAATCTCTTAACAACCCTGTGACAAACCCCAATTTATTAAATGCCTGCCAAGCTCTGCAGGGATCTCCATCTAGGGGCCAAGGCCCTGGCTGGGCCCTCCAGCTTCAAGCGCCTCCACTTCCCCTCTTCCAAGACTTCCGCTGGTGGATTCCCTGGTGACACAGAACTCTCTGTGGTCCCTGGGACACACAAGCTGTTTCACTTCCAGGCCTCTGCATATGCTGATCAGTCCTTTTCCTGGACCTTTCTAATTCCTACCTCCTAACCATCCTTCAAAACTCAGCCCCCCTCCTACCAAAAAAAGAGAAACATAACAAACAAATAAACAAACAAGCAAAAAACAACTCAGCCCAACACCCAGGTCCTAAGCACCTATTTGTCAGATTTGCTCTCACTGACAGCCTATATTTTGGTCCCCAGTTTTCAACTGAGTAACAACTAAGCTGGCCTGAAATGGTAATTCTGTTCCCCTTGGTGGGGTAAGTATATTTTTAACCTTGGGGAGATATGCAACAATAATTACAGAATAGACTGTGGTAACATCTTGTGATATTATTTTGTGCAGGCTCTAGAACTGCACTGTCCAAGAGGGTACCACTAGCCATATGAGTGGCTACTGGAATTGATTAAAGGCAATTAAGATCAAATTTCCACTCTTCAGTTGCCACACTTAACATTTCCATCACAGCAGGAAGCTCTCTTGCATGGCCCTGTTTAGGCTTCTCCAGAGGGAAGCCCTACCCCACGGGCAAGCTAGACGTGTTTCTCAAGGTGATGTCCAAAAGGACGAAGTGGGAGGAAGAACTTTGCCACTCGTTATAAAAGGAATGAGTTTTCTAATATACAAAGAACCTTCAGATATAAATAAGAAAAACACCAACTACTCAATAGAAAAAAGATATAAACAGATAGTTCAGAAAAGAAAATTCACATGGCCCTTGAGGCTCAAACTCAACCAGAGAGAGAGAGAGAAACCCTGAAGTGCTATTTCCCACTACTCAGACTGATAAAAACCCAAATGTTTGAAAACACAAGGCCATGAAGACACTCAGACATCACCTCATAGAACTACCTCTGAAAACAACACATGCAAGCTGAACACAGTGACTCAAGAGGTGATCACAGATTCAAGGCCAGCCTCCACAACTTGCAAGCTGCTGAAAAGGGCTGGGAATGTGGCTCAATGGTAGAGTGACCCAGGTTCAATTCCAAGTACCATTAAAAAAAAAAAAAAAAAAGACAAGTATACATTCTTGTGACCCAGCAATCCTACATCTAAGAATTCCTCATACAGGCTGACCTGCACACATGAGAAATGAGACAGCACACATTTCACTGTGGCATTGCTTACAGTGAGCCAAAGGCTGGACACAACCCCAGTCACCATTAACAAAGAACTGCTAGTTAAAAGGGATGCACATGTCCAGCTGTTAAAAAGAGAAGCAAAAAAAACACTGTGGCGGGGCAGCAGCTCTCTATACGAGACGAGACGGAAAGAGTCCACAAGATACTCAGTGAAGTGCAAAAGGCAAGTTCAGAACAGCGTGGGTGCAGTGCTGCCTTCTAGGGCCCAGGCGCCAAGGCCTCCATCTGCTCTTCAAGCACACAGAAGACAAGTAGTTATCTGGGGGATGGAGAATGGAGGGAAGGGGAGCGGTGACAGTGAAACTTTCACCAGACACCTCCTCATTCCATATGGCAAGGACGGGGGAAGGCAGTTTGTTTGTTTGTTTGTGGTGTTGTTGTGGAGTTGAAGATGGAACCCAGGGCCTTGAGAATGCTAGGCAAACATTCTAGCTCTGAGCTAAGCCCCAGCTTGCCTTTATTTCTTCTTCCTCTTTTTGGTACTGGGATTGAACCCAGGGTACTGGGATTGGTTTACCCCAGCTCTTTTTATTTTTTATTTTGAGACAAAAACTTGCTAAGTTGCTGAAGCTGGCCTTGAACTTGCAATCCTCCTGCCTCACCCTCCTGAATTGCTGGGATTATAGATATGTGCCTTGGTTCCCCACTCTCGGCCTGACTTTTGAACCAGATGAATCTATAACTTCTTCTGATTATTAAATTGAACTTTTAAAGTGACTTTCTAGACCTACTTTAGAATCAACAAAGATGCGCACTAGGAACAGTCTGCTGACCCTCCATAGTGGTCAGGCCTAAAGTCTGTCATTAACAAGCTCTTTCTAACAAGTCACTGTCATCAGTGACTCTGATGTGCCTACAAGTCCAAGGACAGAGTGAAATTTTCACACCAAAACTTCCAGTTCTTCTCAGTTCCAGGTAGAAGACTTCACACCAGAAGGGTGGAAAACTGGGAATTCCTCAGTTGGGCCCAGGGGAATCTGTCCATTGTGCCTCTTCCCCTCGCACCAAGCTTGACCATTCTCAAAGGGCAGCCACATGGAGGCTCAGACTCACCTCTCATCTGGAGAGTCCACATGGAAGGTCCTCTCGATGACAGTGGTCCACTGCAGACAGCGAATGACGAAGGTGTTGGGCCTTGGCCTCTCGGTCTTCATCAGCTGACATTCTGCAGGCAGGGGAGGAGGATTGGGACAGTGAGGGGATGACCCTGCTGGCCTGCAGCCCATATTCCCTGAGCCACCTGTGTGTCAAGTCCCATGTCAGATGGTGCTGGGGACCCATCAGAGATCAAGACAGCTCTGGCCTTGCCCTCAGGGCAGACCATCAGATGGTAACAACTTAGCAGTTGGGTTGGGACAGAGACAGCCAGATGCAGCATCCAACCCAGCTGCAGCATCCAACCGTGAGGAAGGGGCATCTCTGACCTGAGGCCTGAAGGCAAAGAAAACTGAGTCAGAGGGGATGTCAACTCTGCTCCAAGTGTTAGACAGGGGAAAGTGAGCAGTCACTTAGGAAAGGTGGGCCAGAGTCAGCTGGACAGGGCTTTAGAGGCCATGGTAAGGAATATGAACTTTGTCTTCAGGGCAGCAGGGAGCCATGGAAAGGACATGGACAGACTGAGACAGATCCCCTGGCTGCCACGGAGGATGAGACTGGAGGCCAGAAGCCAGGGAAGAGACTGTGGCAGGACCCAGATGGAGGGGATGAGCTGCAGCAGAGTGGGGCAGGCAGGGGAGGAAAGGGAGCAGGTTGCAGCAGGAGGAAGAGGCATTTGGGACCAACACCAGGCACAACAGAGCTGTCCCAAGGAGACTGAGAAGATGACAAGTTTGAGAGAGGGAAGGAGAAGGGAGGTGGGAAGGTCAGTTTGAAACATGGTGAGGATGAGGAACCTGGAGAATACTTGGGGAGAAATGTCCAGGAAGCTGCTGGGGAAAGGCTGGGAGTACAAGCAAGAAGTCGAGGTAGAAGCCACCAGCATATGGAGAAAGCAGCCAGGAAAAAGGCTTCCTACAGACAGTGTGAGGGCTGGGTTGCAGGAGAGCCTCCAGGGAGGAGTCGGGCTGGGGAGGAAGCTGTAGGACAGACCTGAGAGGATGGTGCTGAGGAGACTGGGCTGCCTGTGAAACATTCTTAGCAGGTACAACAAGGACACAGTACAAATCACGTCAGCAGGGAAGGAAGGAGGTGGGGATTGGGGGAGTCCCCTGTTCCACAAGAACAAGGCAAGGAAACTGGGTTTGCAAAGCTGACTCTGTAGCACCATTTCGGGTGCTACAGAGGGAACCAAGGACATGAGGTCAGCCCTGATCAGCTGAGTGGGAAGCCATGACCCTTTTAGGTGAGAGGGATGAAGGGAGGAGGCTGTTACCAGAGCAGGACAGCACTCCAGCTGGAACCACAGGGCCAGCTGGAGCTGGAGCTGGGGCCCAGGGAAGGGTGTGTATGAATGCCCTGCTTACGCCCTCTTCTCATTCTCCACCTCCCATAGGATGACCCCACAGCACCCAGCTGACAAGGAGGGACAGCAGGAGAAGGATGGGAAATGGATCTGAGGGCAAACAAGCCCAGGACAGTCCTCTGGCTCAAGAATGACCAAGACCCATGTGCCCCCAAGATCTGCCAGCCATTCTCCAAGTTCTGCTGGCCTACTTGCCCTGAGACTCACCTGCTACAGAGAAGTTGTTTAAGGGGGGTGAAGTCTGGTCAGGAGCCTCTGGCCTCTCCTTATACCCAATGAAGGAGCCATCGCTCTTCAGAAGGAAGTACCGGGGCCTCCATGTCTTGATGTATTCACCTGAAAGAGGCGGGAGAGGAGAGAGGTCAGGACAAGGTTGAACAGTATCCCAGGCGGGTAGGCAGGCAGCCCAGTGTGAGGGTGACTCACAAGGGGCACCACAGTGGGAGGAGGGTGGACAAGTGTGCCTCTCCCAGGGGAGCCCTCAAGGTAGCCCCTGCTGACGCAGGCTGGGGCACTGGGCTGGTCCTGAGTGATCCACAGGGTCATGCCTGGCAGGAAGGCGCCTGTAACAGTGCCCCAGAACACCAGCTGCCTCAGCATGTGGCCAACAGCAAGCTATCCCTGCCAGATGGTCCCATCCTAAGGGAGGCCCAGGCCTCTAAACACACATGCCCTGTGACCCTGTTAAGGCCAAATGCCATGGGCTTGAATTCACCAGCATGGCCACGTAGGACCCAGATGGTGAATCAAATGTCAAAATACTTTTGTGCCAGGTGGGCTATAGCTGCTTCCACACCCTTTGAGCACCTGCAATCCCTTCCACTTTTCTGGAGGCTTGGAGCCAGGAGGAGGCTGAGGCAGGACCCACACGCACTTGTCTGAACACTTTCTACAAGGACCCGCTCCTTTGAGGGCTGCCAAGGGGGAAATGAGATGGTGAAACAAATGTCCACATAAAAACCCACACATGAGCATCCACAGCAGCAGTACTCATAGCAGCCCCAAAGAAGAAACAGCCCAAATATTTATCAACCAATGAATGGTTTATCAACAGAACTTGGTGGATCCAAATGGAAAACTTGTAGACCATAAAAAGAATTGAAGTTCTAATACATGCTATGAAGTGGATGAACCGTACTTAGGCTAAGTGAAAGAAATCGATCACAAAGGTTCAACTTTATGACAGCATGAGGCCAACATGCCTTCAGTACATAGCACACTTCAATGGGAGATTCTGAACTTTTCCCAAGCTACCTATACACAGTATACCTATACACAGTATATGATACTGGGCTCCTGGTCAGCCACATGATCACAAAGGTGCTCAACCAACACTACCATCCCTTACAGCTAAGCTCCAGTGCTCTGTAAGTTAGGTGCATTAAATGTATTTTTAACTTATGATAGGTTTACTGCGATGTAATCCTGCCATGTTGAGGAGTATCTATATGAGTCCACTTGGGATGCAGGGCCTAGGGGAAAACTGGAAGGTGATGGCCAATGGGGACAGAATCTTTTGGTGTGTAAAAAAATCTTCTACAATTGACTGTAGTGTTGGTTGCACAACTCTGAATACTGAACTGTCCCCTTCAGAAGGATAAATTGTAAGGCACGTCCATTATATCTCAATGATGAGACAGCAACCATGAAACACCCAGCTCAAGAGCCCAGCACATTGCATACACTCAATGAATGCTCTTCATTATCAGTCCACTGTGCAAGAAGTATGTGCCAGGCACTTGACTTCCATGGCACATGAAGAGGCAGGACACAGTGGACTGAGGTATATCTGCTGGATGTAAGTAAATCATTTCCCTTTTCTGAACTGTTTCCTCTTCTGGGGCCATCCACTAACTGAGGAGGAAGACAGCAATGAATAATAATGATACCACAGTGCTCTTTGTGTCAAGCACTGTCTTAAGTATCTCATGAGTGGGTTTTAACTTATAAAATTCTCTCAAATGTAGATATAAATTACTCCATTTATATAAAGTTCAAACACTAGCAAAATCCTAAATTCAACAGCATATTAAAAAGATGCCTGGTGTGGTGGTGAAGACCGAGAGCCCCAGCTACTCGGAAGACTAAGGCAAGAGTTCAAGGCCAGCCTGGCCAATAAAGTGAATCTGTTTTAAAATATATATATGTACATTTATATCCCATGACCAAGTGAAATGTATCCCAGGAATGAAAAGATGGTTCAATGTACATTGAAAGAATGATGTGATCGTCCCAATCGACACAGGAAAAGCATCTGACAATCTAAGTATTTTTCAGGATAAAAATACTTAGCAAGCTATGAACAGAAGGAGCTTCCGTAATGTGATAAAAGGCATCTATGAAAAGCCCACGGCTGATGACTGACGTCACACTCAATAAGGAAAGACTGAAAGCTTCTCCCTAAGGTCAGGATCAGGACAAGGATGCCTGTCTTTTCCACTGCTGTGCAAAATGGAATAAAAGGTACTAAAGGGAAAAGGAAAGAAGAAAATTACCTCTACTTTGCTGATAATGTGATCCTATGTAGAGAAAAAGCACAAATAATCTACAGAATAGCCAGGTGTAGTGGCTTGGACCTAAAGTCCCAGCTACTCAGGAGGCTGACACCAAAGGATCATTTGAGCCCAGGAGCTCAAGGCTGACCTGGGCAAAATATTGAGACCCCAATTAAAAAAAATAAAAATAAAAATACCCGGACTGGGATTGTGGCTCAGTGGTAGAGTGCTTGCCTAGTGCATGTTAAGTCACTGGGTTTCATCCTCAGCACCATACAAAAATAAATAAATAAAATAAAGGTATTGTGTCCAAAGTAACTTCTAGAGTTAATAAGTTTAGCATAATCAACGTACAAAACTCAGGTACATTGTGTGTGTGGGGGGGTGCTGGGGTTGTGGCTCAGAGGTAGAGCGATTGCCTACCATGTGTGGGGCACCGAGTTCAATCCTCAGCACCACATAAAAATAAAATAAAGATATTATGTCCACCTATGACTAAAAAATAAATGTTTAAAAAAAATCAGCTATGTTTCTATATACCAACAACCAATAGTCCCAAAAGGAAATTTAAAAAAAATTCATTTACTATAGTCTCCAAAAGAATAAAATACTTAGGAATAATGTAACCATGGAGATAAAAGATTTTCATACTATAAAACATTAATTAAAAAAAATGATCTAATAAATGCAAGGACATCTCTTGTTACTGGATTGGAAGATTTAACATTGTCAGGCTGACAATATTCAGAGTGACCAGGTGTGATGAAATCTCTCTCAAAATTCCAACAGCAGCCCTTTTAGAGAAATGGAAAAGTCAATCTTCAAATTTATATGGAATTGCAAGGCGTTCCAAACATCCAAGACAACATTAAAAATTTTTAGCCAAGTTAAAAGACTCCATATTTCCCAATTCCAAAACCGACTACACAAAGCTACAATAACCAAAACAGTGTGGTATAAGGATAAATATATAGACCAATCAAACAGAATCAAGAAATTAAATGACAAACCCAAACACTAAGGTCAAATGACTTTCAACAAGGGGTGCCAGAGCACTCACTAGAATAATGCAGCAAATAGTGCTGGCACACCTGGAAGTCCACATGCAAAAGAGTGAAGTCAGACCTCTACCTCATTCTATCCACCACATACAAAAACGCATTAAAAATCTATTAATCTAAGAGCTGAAACTGTAGAACTCTAACTAGAATACAAAGGATTAAATCTTCACTATCGTGGATTTGGCACTCTTAGATGACACCAAAAAGCAAAAAAAAAAAAAAAAAGTGAACTTATCAAAATGAAAAACTTTTGTGCATGAAAGAACACTATCAAGAAAGTAAAAAGGCAGCCAGGTATGAAGGCACATGCCTATAATCCCAGCTACTCAGGATGCAGAAGGATACCAAGTTTGAGGCCAGCCTATCAACTTAGCAAGACTCTGTTTCACAACAAAAATAAAAAGGGTTGGGGCTGGGTATGCTGGCGCACTCCTATAATTCCAGTGGCTTGGGAGGCTGAGGCAGAAGGATCATGAATTCAGAGTTCTTAGCAAGGTACTAAGTAGCTCAGCAAGACCATGTCTCTAAGTAAAATATAAAAAGGGCTGGAGACGTGGTTCAGTGGTTAAGCTCCCCTGGGTTCAATCATCAATGCCAAAAATAAAAATAAAGGGAAAAGAAGGAGGGAAGAAAGGAAAGAGAGAGGGAGAGAGGAAGGGAAGGGAAAGAAGGAATGAAAAGGAAGGAAGCAGGGAGGGGAAGAGGGGAGGGATGAATGGACAAAGACAAAATTAACCTACAGAACAGGAAAAAATACTTGCAACTCATATGACAAGAGTCTAGTATCTAGAAAATATAAAATATAAAGAACTCTTACAACTCAACAACAAAAAGACAAATAGCTTATTAAAAAGGGGATAAAGGACTTGAACAGACATTCCTCCAAAGACTATACAAATGGCCAACAAGCCATGAAAAAATTCTTAATAACACAGGTGTTACAAAAAAAAAAAAATCAAAATCATGATGAGACACTACTTCACACGCACTGAGATGACTGTAATAATAATAATAATCTTTTTTTGGTGGGGGGGGGTGGGCGGTCGGTGATTGAACTCAGGGGCACTTAACCACTGAGTCATATCCCCAGCTTTAGTTCATATTTTATTCAGAGACAGGGTCTCACTGAGTTGCTTGGTGCCTTGCTGTTGCTGAGGCTGGCTTTGAACTCCGGATCCTCCTGCCTCAACCTCCCAAACCGCTGGGCTTACAGGCGTCTACCACTCTGCCCAGCAATAATGATAATCTTAAAAACACAAACAAAAGGGGCTGGAGTTGTACCTCAGTAGTAGAGCACTTGCCTCACATTTGTGAGACACTGGGTTTGATTCTAAGTACCACATATAAGTAAATGAATAAAATAAAGGTACATCAACACCTAAAAAAATATTAAAAAAAAAACAAACAAAACAACAACACAAACAAAACTGAGCACGGTATTACACATCTGTAATTCCAGTGGCTCGTGAGGCTGAGGCAGGAGGATTGCAAGTTCAAAGCCAGTCTCAGCAACTTATAGAGACCCTGTCAAAATAAAAAATAAACTGCCGGGCACAGTGGAGCATGCCTGTTAATACCAGCGGTTCAGCAGGCTGAGGCAGGAGGATCACAGAATTCAAAGCCAGCCTCAGTAAAAGCCAGGTGCTAAGCAACTCAGTGAGACCCTGTCTCTAAATAAGATACAAACTAGGGGTGGGGTGTGGCTCAGTGGTTGAGTGCCCCTCAGTTCAACCCCTAGTACTAAACACACTCTCTCTCTCTCTCACACACACACACACACACACACACACACACAAGGACTGTTTAGTAAGGAGATGAAGAAAATAAAACCCTGTGCATTTTTGGAATGTAAATGGTACAAGACACTGTAGAAAAATCTGGTACTTCCTCAAAAAGCTAAACACAGAATATACTATAAATTATAAATATAGGAAATATGACTCAGATTATATAATTACACACATTTACATATTATGTATATTAGATACTAGATTATAAATGCAAATTACAAATACAGACTACATGATCCAGCAATTGTCCTAGGTAATGCACATGAAAGAACTGAATACAGGTATTCAAACAAATACTGTACATTTTGTTCATAACAGTACTATTCACAATAGTGAAAAGGTAGAAACAACTCCAATATATATCTAGAGATGGATGGATAAACAAAATATGATATGTCCATAAAGTTGATTATTTGGCCTTTAAAAAGGAATGAAGTACTGATACATGCTGTAACACAGAGGAACCTCAAAAACATTATGCTAAGTGAAAGAAGCCCATCACAAAAGAGCATATATTGTACAATTCTATTTATTCGAAGGGTCTAGAGTAGGTAAACCCATAAAAACAGAAAGCAAACTGATAGCTGCCAGACACTGGGAGCAAGAGGGTACAGAGACTGACTGCTTAATGGGTATAAAGTTTTCTTTGGAGGTGATGAAAACATTTTGGAACTAGTTAGAGGTAATGGTTAACACAACATCATGAATGTATTAAAAGGCCACTGAATTGTATAATTTAAGATGGTTATTATAATATTATATAAATTTCCACCTTCTTTTTTTTTTTTTTAAAAGACAAAAATTAGAAAACTGCAAGCTTGGGAAGGGAGCAGAGGCTTTTGCAGATTGTTTTGTTTTCTTTCTTTCTGTTTTTTTTGGGGGGGACTAGGGATTGAACCAGAGGGGCTTTACCACTGAGCCGCATTGCCAGCCCTTTTTATTTTTTGAGACAGGGTCTCACTAAGTTGCCTGGGCCCTTGCTAAATTACTGAGGCTGGTCTCAAATTTGCAATCCTCCTGCCTCAGCCTTCCAAGTTACTGGGATTATAGGCATGTAACACTGTACCCAGCTCTATTTCTTTATTGCACGCACGCTGGCACAGGAGTGAGGTAATTATCCAGAACTTGTCTTGGATATCAAGAAACCTAGATTAAAGAAAAAAGGAGTCTTGTGATCTTATCCCCCATTTTGTATGGGGAACCTGAGGCACAGGCAGCCTTGTCAAGGTTCACAGCTGTCCTGTAAGAGCTAGCACTCCTGACCACTAAGTTGGCCTTGTACGTAGCCTGGCAGAGGGTGGGCACTCTGCTAATGATGGCGGTGGTGTACTAAAGGCCATGCCACAAGCAGGACCCACACGTAGCACAAGGGACTCCACATTCTTAGATCTTGCTGAACAAGAGGCAGCACATAGACTAGACTTTGAGGACATTCATTCATTCAGCAGCCAGGAGGCCTGAATTCAACCTCACACTCTGCACTAAAACTCTGGGTGATCACTCTTGCTGCTAATAAGATGGTAGCCACCTTACAGGGCATCTATGAAAATTCAACACTGGGGCCAGACACAGTGGTGCATGCCTATAATCCTAGTGGCTTAGGAGGCTAAGAAGGAGGATCGCAAGTTCAAAGCCAGCCTCAGCAAAAGCCAGGTGCTAAGCCACTCAGTGAGACCCTGTCTCTAAATAAAATACAAAAAAGGGCTGAGGGTGTGGCTCAGTGGATGAGTGCCCCTGAGTTTAATCCCCAGGAAACCTCCTCCCCGCCACACCGAAAAAAATCAACACTGGGCTTGTCTGGGGCAGAGTCCAGAGCCTGGCAGGGTGGGCACTCCAAAAAACAGTACAGCAATTATTTTAGCCAGCAAGGGTTGGAGCAGAGGTGCCAAGACAACAGCTGCCTCAATGACAGGCACCAGGGAGGCCTGGAAGTACACGAGCACAGGTGTGCACACGTGTGTTGTGCTAACTCAAGGCAGGTATGTCCAAGTTGGGCCAACTCAGCAGACAGGGACAGGACTGTGGACCACTCATCTGGTCTCGCAGCATGAATGGGGACAGTGATGCCCTAATAGGGACTGAGACCCACTTAATGCCATCGGCTAAGTCCCCAGGCCAGAGATAAACTCCCCAGCCTTTGACAGTTCTCCAATTACCTCCAAGATTCCTGGCACTTGAGCCCAGTGACCCATGGGCCTCAGGAAGCTTGAGTTGAGGGACAGACCCAAGACCCTTGCACACTCTAGCACAGTCGCACCACACACAATTCCAGTTGTTCATCCAACTATCATTTACTGAGTGCCTACTGTATGCAAAGCACTTTTTGAGGTGATGAGGACACGTCAGTGAACAAGTCACGTGGAAATCCCTGCCCTCATGGTCACAGAGGCCTGGGCTGTTAACCTAAGATACAGATGTAAAATGAAGGCTCAGTCAAATGACACAACTTGCCCACCATCACCATCTGTCAAATTTTGCAAAGTTCCACTAACAGACCCAAATTCAGGGTTGTCTGTAGGGGCTGGGCTGAGGTGCCATGAATGCTGCCCCTGCCTGGACAGGGCAGCAGGAAATGGGTCCTTCTGCTCATTCTGATGGGGAGTCCTTGCCTGGCAGTGGCCTCTGTCTCCCATCACTGTCTGGTGTCTGTGGACTGGGACAGGGCAGAATGGTTCTCTTCTCCTGGTTCCACAGGGTCAATCCCATCAATCACCTGCTCACCCACCTCAGGACTCGCTGGCCATCCCCTCTGTCCATGTGCCCCTGACCCAGTGAGCTGTGGTGCCCTCTTCTGCCTCCCACAGGTCTTTTTTCCCTGGTTACTGTGAATTGAGCCCTGGGGTACCTTGCCACTGAGCTACATCCCTACCTCTTTTTATTTTTCACTTTGAGACAGGGTCTTGCTAAATTGCCCAGGCTGGCCTCAGCCACCCAAACACCTAGAGTTACAGGTGTGCACCACCAAGTCTGGCTCCTTCAGGTCTTCGTTTAGACATCCTCTTCTTAGTGAAGGCCTCCTCCTAACCACTGAAATTAAGATGGGTCTCCAAGTTCCTGCCCACCTCACACCCCATCCTTCTCTCATTGTCTGGTTCTACTCCACAGCATGTACCACCACAGCATACTCGCATCAGCCTGGGTGCTACCTGCCTCCCACCCAGAATGTAAGATATCATCACAAGTACGGGATGTTGCTACAACCCTGGCACCCGAACCACAGGAACTGATCCACAGGGACTATACCTGAACCACAGGGACTGATCCATCAATAAATGCTTGATGAATGGATGAAAGTGCAAGTAGAGGGAGGGGCTAAGGAGATAGCTTAGTGGTAAAGTGTTTGCCTGACATGCATGAGGCTCTAGGTTCAAATCCCAGCACCACCATCACATACACACACACACACCAAAAAAAAAAAAACAAAAAAAGAAGAAGAAAAAGAAAAAGAAAAAGAAAGTGAAATGCAAGTAGAACAGCTACTAAAAATTCAGCTATGGACAAAGCCATTTCATAGCATGTGCTTCTTCCTGCCTGCATCCCAGGGTCACCTGGCGGCTGGCCCAGGGAACAGGCAACTTTGGGAGTCTTAAGGCCTAGTCTCTTCCCCACCCATGACTTTACTAGCGCCTCAACTTCCCATCAGTACACTGCATCAGGTCCCACCATGGGTCACAATACCCTGGGCTTCCACTGTCCAGAGTTAAAGCCAAGGTCCCTTCTGTAGCCTACAGGGCTCAACATGGTGGGAGCTATGTCATTCCTCTCTCCTCCACTTCACCCTACTCACTGCGCTCCAGTCATGCTTTTCCTAGAAAACAATGGGCATGGGCTGGCTGTATGGCACCTTAAGAGAGAGTACCTGCCTATGTGCATAAGGCTTTGGGTCCATCCCCAGCACTGCAAGAACACAACGCACCAGGCATCACCTCCATGTTAGAGCCCTGACCTTGCTGTCCCTCCCCCTGGGACGCCCTTGCTCAGCTATCTGTGTGGCTCACTCCTGCACCTTCTCCAGGGCTCCTCAAAGCAGCCTCCTTTGCCTTGCCCATCTCCCTGGCCCCTTGCTCCTCAGAGTTTCTACGTTTTTTTTCACAACAGCACTTATCACTATCACATGTCTACTCATTTGTTGTTTGTCCCCATTCCCTACTGGAATGTGAATTCTATGAGGATGCCACTGTGTCCCAAAACATGGGACAATGTCAACGAATATTTGCTGAATGAATGTTGAATACTGCCCTCAATTAAGTGACTTCCTTTCTCTGCCTCTTTCCACACCTATTAAATGAGGCTAGGAGCAGTGGTGCATTCAGGTAATCCCAGCAAATCAGGAGGCTGAGGCAGGAGAACTGCAAGTTCAAGGCCAGCCTCAGCAATTACGTGAGACATTCAGCAACTTAACAAGACCCTGTCTCAAAATTTATAAATAAATAAGTAAGTAAATAAATAAATAAATAAACAAAACGGGGTTATGAACAAGATCACTGATGCAAGGCAGAGCCTGAGGCCTGGTCTGTGGCTTGTCCAGGGTGTCCAGCTAGGCCTGGACACTCAGCCCCAGTAGATCCTCAGCTCCCTCCCCAGGGACCCTGAAGGATTCCATGAAGTGGTATGCACGTAGCTAGTGGCATGGAGGCTATAAACACTAACTCCTTGGGTCAGTAATCACCCTACGCTTCCACCTCTCAGGGTGCCAGCTGCCAAAAGAGTCAGGATAGGAGGGGAAGACACATGATCAAATGGGCAAAAGCCACCCCTTACCACGTTTGTGCAGCCAGCCTTCTTTGATGACAGACACTTCATTCATGGTGGCAGCGTGGCACGCTGTCACCTAGCTTGGGACAGCTCAGGGCAGCAGGACATGCAGGAGGTGCTGTGGATATAGTCTGGAAGACAAGAAGGAGCATGTCAGAGTGGGAGAAATTCCGCCCCAGCCCTTTCCTTCAGGACACTCAAGACTCTGAGGCCCTCTGGCCACTTGGCCTGCTATGCACCAGGTATAGCCAGTGAAGATGGGGGACAGCCTTGCCCTTGAGGGCCCAGACTTAGCAGAGACATAACCAGGTCTCCGGAGACCCCAATCCTATGTGTGGCCAGGCCTCTGCACTCAGGCCCCTCCTGCTACCCTTCCTGCTGGCTGGGTGGGCACTGAGGTAGCTATGGCCCTGCCCGCTACATCACTCCCATGCCCCAGTACTGAGGTAACCCAGAGTGAATCACACAGCCCTGGGCACCAAGCGGAGGGTGTGCTCACAGCCATCAGCATCTGCCTGCCCCACAATACATATATCCGCACACGCACTCTTTCTCTCTCATTCCCATTCTCTCTTTTCCAAACCAGAGAACCACCAACCTACCACCTTCAGCAAAATAAATGTCCATCCACCCCATGCTGGACTACCCCAAGCCACTTTCTCAGCCTCAGTTCCCTCCCTGCTCCCACCAAGAGGACTAAGAAAAGACAAGCATGGCATTCTGGGGTCCTAAACAAGCAACCTACTGTGTATGCGCCTGTCTGGGCCTAGGAGTCAGTTCTGGTCCCTTCCCCAGGACCTCTGCTTCTGTCCTCAGGGACCAGCAGCCGACAGACTGATGGACGCCGAGGCTGCTGCCTCGTCTCAGGTTCCCAAAGCGGAGTGCAGAAGGGTGCAAGGAGCTGCCAGCTGGGCCCTACCTGGAGCCAGGGGCCTGGACTGGAGCCACAAAGCCCAAGGCGCCTTTTGCCTTTCCTGGCCTGAGGTTATTTGCGGACAGCAGGTCAGGAGCTACGGTGGCCCCCAGAGAAGTGTCAGCTGGCTCTAGGGACACCATGGGCATCAGCTTTCTCTCGTGCCCCAGGGGAGCTGGTGGGCCGGATACGCTACTGCCTGGCATGTGACGGTGGCAGGCTGCCCAGGCCCTGGGCAGAAGGAAGGGAGGTAAGTGGGAGGAAGCGGGAGGAAAGGCAAGATGGACAGCGACAGGGACATAAACAGGATGGTGAAAATCACATTTTGGACTCCTAAGCTGCAAAGGCAACGATTCTGGGCTGGGAATAGCAATAAGGCCCTCCTTGTAAGCAGGCATGGCACCTCAGACCCTGAATACAGGCCAGCTAGAACCCTCCACTCTCTCCCCACAATGTCAATCTGCAATGTGACTGCCTGGCCCAATGCCTCCCGTTCCCTTCCCAGTTTATGGCCTGGCTACTGGAATCACGCTCCACCTCCTCCCTGGACTCCCCCTGCATCCTATCCCCTATTCAGCAGCTAAAGGACTCTCAAATTTGACTCTGTTCTTTCCCTGCTCAGAATCCTTCTGTGGCCCTTCATTGTCCTTGGCAAAAAAGTCAAACTCCTCAGCTTGATATCCAAAGCCTTTCAGGACCCATTCTGCCGCCCTTCATCCCTACTGCCTCTGCGCACTCACCCTGCACGCCTCCCGCCCCAGCACCGGCCCAGTCCCCACAGCCCCCTCCTCCAGCCCTGGCCTCCTCCCCGGGCTCACAGCCTCTGCTCTCATCCCTACAGCTCCATTTTAAATGGACCTTGTCCCTCTCCTCACTCAAAACCCTTCCACAGCTCCCCAATGTGCTCAGAACAAGAACAAAGTCCATGCTGTACTGAGGAGGCCCCGTGGGAGCTGAGACACACAGCCAGAAAGCAAAGGCTAAGACAATGGCAATGGTCATTAACATGCCTCGCTACCCCCCCCCCACCGCCAAAAAAAAAATCAGGCATCTGTCACCTAGACTACATCCCCTATGCCTTCTCCCTCCACCATGAGGTCTCAGTCAAAAAGTGACTCCTCCAGGAAGCCTCCCAGTGCTCTGTGCACCCACCTCTGGCAATTCTCCCCACCCCTGTCAAAGCTGATTCAGTGTCCAGCACAGCACCAATACCAGCTGAACACGATAAATGAATCACGGCTCCCAAGGCAGCAGCCCAAATCAGAGATCGCTGCAGAAACCTCTGCATTCTACTCATTCCACCAGTCTTTCTGAGTGTATCCTAAAGCTTCAGACACTGTCCTGGGTGCTAGATAGAGCATCACTAAGATATAGCCCTTGCCCTGTCTTATGAAGCTCACATTCTGGGGAGAAGGCAGAACCACGCACATTCAGAACCATGTCAGCTTTGGCAAAAAGGCACTGAGAGGGAAAACAAAGTAAAGAGAAAGACTGGCAGGAAGTGGGGTGCTGTGTGAGCCGCACAGCGTAGAGGACCCATGAGCAGACACCTTGAGGGACCAAGGAGTGAGGAGTGCAGAGGTACAGGGAAAGGCATTTCAGGCAGAGAAATAGTGAATGCAAAGTCCCCAAGGCAGGAAGGAGCTGGTGCGGGCAAAGCCAGGAGAAAACACTCGAGGAATTCAGAGGTGTGGCGGGGAGCCGAGGTGGACACCACACTTCTCCCTGCTGAGTTCACTTCCCAAAGAGCTGAGATGGAGAACTCAGTTGAGGAAGAAAGAGAACAGAGGTCCCAGGTCCAGCCTCAGCTCCTCTTGGCGGCCCAACAACATCACCTCTCGGAGCCTCTGCAACCCAGTAGCACAAGGCTCCAGAGCAGCACCCAGGAACCCACTGTGGGAAGAGGGTTCAACCCACTATCTGGACCTGGTAAAGCCAAATACATGGCTGCCATTATTCAAAAGCTAAGTGAAGGCAGTCAGGTATGACCGAGAGTGGTCAGGGTTCCAGAGTCCACAAGCCATCCCCAGCTGGGTGGCCTTGGGCAGGGTGCCAGCACTCCTGTAGAGCCTCTCCTGAGTGCTCGTAACACCCCACCAGAGGGGCCGTAACTGTGCCCAGGCAAGGACAGAGGCTCAGAGAGGGGAAGCCATTTACCTCGAGTCTCCCAGCTGAATGGTGGAGGCCTGGCAGAGGCTCAGCAAGCCAGAGTCACATTTTATGGTCTTGTTTCAGCAACTAAAAAGCCAGCGGCAGCTCAGGCGAGAACAGGGGGAGGAATTGGAAGATCCCCTGTGTCCCGCCTGGATCCTGCCCTGTCCTCCCACTGAGGGTGGCGCCTCGGCTGAGGTGTCTGTGACGCAGTCCTGTGGTGATGAAACACCAGGCAGCATGGCCAAGAGGACAGCCTGCTCACCAGGGAGTGCAGGCCTAGGATGCAGGCAGGAGGGAACCCAGGCAGCATGCAGGGCTCTGCGCTGGCTACTCGGCAGGCAGCACCCCCTCTGCAGGCAGCACCCCCTCTGCAGGGAGCCTGTATGGCTCTTCCCCACTCGCTACTTCCTAGGACGCCCATGCATGAGTGTGCTGAGGGTTCTGGCCAGGGCTACAGCTGTTGACCAGAGGTGAGCCACCTGGGAAGGAAGGCGAAAAGAGAAAGGGCAACTCAACAGGACACCCAGATGAATAGGGAACAGGCACAACCTCATTAGTTATGGGGACATACAGATTAAAACCACCTGTCTGGGATGCTGAAATTAAAAAAACTGACAACACCAACCATCAGCAGGGATATGAGGAATCACGATTCTATGCACTACTTGGGGAGTACAAAATGGCCCAACCACTGTGGAAAAGTGTTTGGCAGTAAGAATTAAAATCTCTCCAGGTATGGTGGGATGCACCTATCGTCTCAGCACTCAGGAGCCTGAAGCAGGAGGACCCCTTGGTGTGGGAGACTAGCCTGGGCAACACAGTGAGACCCTATCTCAAAACAACAAAATACATACACACACCTACCCCAGAACCCAGCAATTCCAGTCCCCCAAAAGAAATTAATACATTTGTTCACCAAAAAACACACAGAAGAAGGTTCACAGGAGCAATATTCCTAGTGATTGCCAGCATTCCACTCACAAGAGATTGGCTAAATCAACGAGTGAATTAATATTTACAGAAGAACACCATTCACACCACAGGGAGGAGGCATCACAGAATTAGATGGAGTGGAAGAAATCAGATACAAAGTAACACAGCCAGTGAGAGTCCATTCACAGCTAGATGGAAACAGGACAGGCCATGCTGTTTGCTGTTTAAGAACGTCTTTCTCCTCTGCAAAAAAATCAAGAAGAAACAAATGTTAACAAATGCCACAAAGGCAGGGCCTTAGAAAAACTCTGGGAGGTGACAATGTTCCCTTGTGGTCACACTGGGACCTGCTTTACAACCACTGGTTCTACTGCACTGTAGAAAGTACCTTCCATGTATTTTTCTGCATTTTATGACAAAAGAAGTAACTATACAGAGGAACCCTGGTTTGGAAGTTCAGATGACATGAAGCCCAAATTGGGCCTCCTCCTATGTCCCAAAGCAGGGCTCTTCCCCCTTCCCCAGGAAGGCTGGCCTGCCTCCACTTCCCCCTCAAGAAGGCCTGGCCATCTGTGCACAAGGAGGCCTCTGGAGTCCCAAGGAACTGAGTTTCAGCCTCAGGCTGTATCTTGGCCATGTGACCGCAGGCAAGTGACATCCCTGGTGCTCCCATGTGTACACTAATCCCACTGGAGTGGTGGCCTGACCCCTCACAAGGAAGCTGGAGGCAACTTCTTGACCTATGCGTAGAAATGAAATCATCACACACAGTGTGACCACACAGTGGTCAGCTCTAGATGGGGAAGGAGGGGAGGCAACTGGAGAGGAGATGGGAGGCAACCTAACAAGGCTCTGACTGCGCTGGTGAGGTTTTATTTATTTATTAAACATTTATTTTTTTCTTTTTAAAATTTTATTTATTTTTATGTAGTGCTGAGAATTGAACCTAGTACCTCACACATACAAGGCAAGCGCTCTACCCCTGAGCTACATACAGCCCCAGCCCTGGTTGTATTAATTTTTTTAAGAGCTGCTGACTACATGAGTATCACTGACTAATTTATCTCTATGCTGCAAACGCTCTATAATAAATTACTTTAAATTTTCTTTAAAACATTTTTATTTCCATCTGTCTGGCTCAGGGGTCTATTTCTCAATGGTTTCTAAACTGAAGCCCCTCAGAGGCTGCATCCTTGAGATTCAAACGATGCCACAATGGCCCAGGATTCCAGGCAGAGGTGAGCAGAAAGGGTCCCTCAGATGATCACTTTGTCCTAGCTGGGCAGCTAAAAGGGGCCAGGTCCTCCAGAACCTCATTTGTTTACCTATAAAGCCAGGGTCATTATGATTCCTGCCCCTTTAGAGTGACCCAGGGCAAAAGCCAAAGTCCTGACAGGAGCCCCAGGACACTATGGGGTCTGCACTGTCCCCAACTGATTTTCCTAAGGCACTCCATTCCAGTGGCATCTGCCACCATAGCTCCTGAGCCACACCAGGACACCTCCCCAGGGCCGCTGTGTGCCCCGCTCCCTCAGGGGACTGACCCAGTCTGTACTAAAATAGTCTGATGTTTCTTAAGCTCCTATCTCTGCCTCCCCTTATTATCTTCTTTTTTTTTTTCTGTATCACTGCAGACTTATATTCTGTATATATTTACTTGTTTATCAGTTTATTGTCTCTCTGCTCTAGAATGTCAACACAGCGAGGGCACGAACTCTTGCTTATCTTGGTTACCGCTGAATTCCCACAGCCTTGCAGTGCTGGGCACACAGTGGGCACTTAACTAAAAACCTGTGGAATGAGTGTGTGTAGAGGGAAGCCCTGTGCACAGCAGTAGCTCAAAAAACATTCCTTCCCTGCCACTAGCTACACGCTCCCCCTTCCACACCCCCCTTGCCCCCTCTCACTGACCTGGTTTAGATGCCAGGCAGCACATATGGATTCAAGGCGGCAGGGAAATCAGAGACCTGCATCTCCTGGAGCTGGTGGCAGTGGGCTAGGGACTCCTTCCTTGCTGTGCCTTACTGAAGTGGTGGCAGTGAGCCCCTCAGGAGCCTCTGTCACCTGTCCTCTTATCTGGGCCTTCCTATAGCTCCCCAGGACCTGCTCAAGAGGTAAAATTCAAAGGAAACTATCATGGTAGAGAGCGTTTGCTTATGGGAATAGGGGGCAGAGTGCAGGGAAGCAACACTCTTACCCGCTACTCGCCACTCTGGAAACTGGCCCGTGGATTGTGAGGGCATTTCAGCAAAACTAATGAGCTGGAGAACATGCGAGTACTCGGAGGAGTCTTTCCTACATAAGACTGTGCCAGGGCTGAGTTTTTTTGTTTGTTTGTTTAGTTGTAGATGAACACAATACCTTTATTTTTTTATTTTTATGTGGTGCTGAGGATTGAACCCAGTACCCCATACGTGCTAGGAAAGTGCTCTATCACAAGCCACAACCCCAGCTAACCGGGACGGAGTTCCAAGACAGGACTCTCAACTTGGCATTAGTGACATTGGGGGCCAGGTAATTCCTATTGTGGGGGCTGTTCTGTGTACTTCAGGAGGTTCAGCAGTATCCCTGGTCTCTAGACACTAAGCCAAAAACACTCTCCCCTGGTTGTGGTCAGCAAAAATGTCTTCAGACATCACCACTTGTCCCCTTGGGAGCAAAGCCATCTCAGCTGAGAATCAGAGTTCTCCCTTCCAAGCACCAAGCAGGCCTGACCTGCTTGGCTTCTGAGATGAGATGAGAACCACAGTAATAGTAAAAAGCTGGAAGCAACCTAAATGCCCTTGACAGGGGTCTGGTACTACAGTAATGCTTAACATGACAACTCCACTAAGTTCAGCAAATGCTTAGGTAGCATTCACCAGGTACAGGGCCCATTTAGTGCCTTGTACCTACCAATCCAACCCACACAGCAACACCACAAAGTAGACTTTTTACCACCTCCCCTTTAATAAGGAAATTGAAGAACGCAAGTGAAACGACTTGCCCCACAACCCAAAAAGGAAAGAACAGAACTGAGATGTGACCCAGGGCAGCCGGGCTTCACCTCACACCGTACCCGATGGCCTTTCAAGTTAGGGGGACTGAATTCAGGTCCCTGCTCCCCCACTTTATAACCTTCCCAAGCTTCAGTTCCCTTTGCTGTGAAACAGAGACATCAGCAGTTCCTCCACCATAGGCTCACACAGGGAGGACTCAACACAGTCCTCCCAGCCCAAGGAGTGGGTGCCGCTACTCAGCAACATTCTCTGTGGTACCAATCCTGAACACAAATACCAGCCTGGCAGTACCAGCACTGAGACCTTCAGTACTCAGCAAAAGGCTTGATGCTTGGCAGAACTTATAATGTCACCCCTTTTTCTGAAACACAAACAGGTATCCACCACATTGCCTCCATTCTGATGTTACTGAGGGTGTAAGCAGCTCCTGACCCATGCATACAATTCACCTATAGCATCCTTTCAGAAAACCAATGAGTTACAGATCAACAATGAGACTTACAGGGCACAGTGTCCTGGGCGTCAGGACAGGGAAAAACAGATCAGAGGGGCTGTGCTAACAGAGGCAGACTTCAGGATGTGGGAGTCAAGGCAGGCTCACAAACCAAACATCAGACTCTGAACCCCACTCTGCCATTTGCTGTGGGACCTTGGGCAAGTCACCATCCCTTTCCTCATCTTATCCATATACTAGAGATAATAAGAGTGTAGGCCTCCAAGGCTGTGGCAGGATTAGATGAGCTAATCCACATGAGTCCTCCCAACAGAGCTGACACAGCAGCTGTCCAGCACACATCAGATGTTACGATCTCCTCTGGTAGGTGGAGACATGGGAACTTCACTTCCTACACTGTATATTTCTGAACATGTGAATTTTTACCTATTCTACTTCCTTGGTGAGAAGGTGGCGTCAAAGAGACTTTTCTCTTCATCACCCTCCCTACCCTGCCACCTACCCCATCTGTCTACTTGGAGCAGGTGGAAATGGGGACAGGAGGAGGACGTGGGCAGGCTGCAAAAGAAACCAGAACTAGAATAAGCACTAGAACAGCTTTCCTCGTCTTCTCTGCCTCCCCCGCCACACGCACCTTCCCCATACTGCCACCCAGGGCCTTACGAACCCACAGAAACTATGTCAAATTATTTTGAGTCTCTCTGGTCATGGTGCCTGGCCATGGGCTCCAAACAAACAGAGCACCAGGCCATAGCCAGCAGGGTCCTCCAAGAACAACTCTGACGCTACTCAGGCCCTCTCCTAGGTGCACATCTAAGGCCAACTTGGAGACTGCCAGGGCCATCTGCCTCAGTCCCTCCTCCACTCTTCAACCTCTTAGGTCAGCAGCTCTAACATACACAACTCCCCCTTCTCCTGGTCCCTTGAAGACTTTGCTTTCTCACTCCAGAGCCTTTGCACATGCTGTTACCCTGACCAGCATGCTATTTACCCATTTTTTTTTTTAAGAGAGAGTGAGAGAGAGAGAGAATTTTTTTCTTTTTAATATTTATTATTTAGTTT